GGTTCAGCACACTGACAGTATATAAACAGGCAGTAGCAGGATTCTCCCTGGGATCTCTGCTTTTGTCCAGAAAGAGATGTTAGGGTTGTAAGCATAGAAAATAATCAGACCATCTCTATTCTTAGACGTTATTTATGCTCAGTTCTAGCTTGGCCAGATGAGATAGAATGGTACCCAACCCAATGTTTCTTTTGGAAGTTAGAAAAACAAGTTCAAAGCAACATAGGTGGTGGCTTGCCTGAGGATGTCCCATTAACTGAAATGTAACTGCCTTTGTAGTCCTGGAACTTAGACCTTGTGAGGTGAGAAAGAGAAAGGCTTGTCTCAGCTTCCTCTTCAGCTCTCTCACTTCTATGACTGGTATCCAGAAGATTTCTAAAGATTTTACTTGTAATGCTGCATATATTTAGAAAGAGTTTTTAAATTAAAAAAAAATTTTAACATTCAATCACTGTATATCATTACAGCTTATAAAAGGAATTTTCCCAGCATGAGTATATTGTAAATTAGTCTAATTAAAGACTTTATTATAAACATTATCATCAACAGATAATTTTCTATTTTCGTGTCCCTTAAAGGTTTTGCTTTCTTTTTCCTCTTGATTTCCTTCCTCTATACAGCTCATACTCTTCTAATTAGTGAATCAGATTTCCATATTCCTATCATGCCTTGCCATTAATAATATTTTACTTTGCCCTCCTAGTTTTCCATTAAGCTACTGCACTGTGTGTAAAAAAGGGAAATGCTATGTCTACAATGTGGCCTGCTTTATGGCTCACTTTTACTTATTTTTTTATTGCTAGAGAACATGTTCAGTCATCAGAGAGAGAGAGCAAGTGAGAGAGTGAACACGAGAAAGAAAACACTCCCCAACAGGGCTAGGTCATGCTGAAATTCTTCTCCCTCCACTTCTCCATCTTGTTAGGGTTATTTATTTATTTTTTTTTTGAGAGGGCACGTGCGTTTGCCAGAAAAACAGAGACAGAGAGACAGAAAGGGAGAAATCAACCCTGGGGGCATGGCTACGCTGCAATCCCTTCTCCTCCATTCTCTTCTTGGGATCTTGGGCATGCACACATACGTGCCTGGCAAGAGTTTAAGTCACCGGGTCCAGAACTTGAACTGTAGTTGACTACATGTGAGTCCAGTGACATAGCCATTATGCCATGTGAATCTATTTTTTAAAAATTTAATTTTATTCTATTTTATTTATTTATTTATTCAGACCAAACAGGGACAGAGAAAGAGAGAGAGAGAGAGAGAAAGAGAGAGAGGGAGAGAGAGAGAAAGTGAGAAAGCAAGCCATGTGGAAGTCCTTAACCACCATGCCACTTGCTGGCCCCTTCAACTTGTTAGGATTTTGAGCATGCACCTTGCATATATGTCAAGCCTCCAGGTCAGGACCTGACCTGTCATTGGACATTTGAAATCAGAGTTCCAGTGCACTGTTTAACCACTGTGCCACAAGGTTGCTTTTTGGCAAATTTTAATATATTTGTCAAAGTGAAAGAATTCAATATAAAGATTATATTAAGTCCATGTTTAAATATAAATTTTCCGTGTATGCTGATTGTGTGAAATTCTCTCTGTTCTAAGTCTGGAAATATTTATTTTTCAAACATATATGCTCTTTACTCAGAGTCTTCTAAGCCTCTCTGATTTTTCCTTAACTCATTGGTCTTTTATGTTTTCTCACTGCCTTCCATCTCCCTGAAGAATGGACCTTAAAGTATAGGTTTCAATGCCTAAAATGGCTTTATTCCCTGTGGACTGTGGAGAAGAAAGGGACAGAGTAGAGCTTAGGGCATGAAAACAGCTTCTGGAGCCTCTGAGAGGCTGGGCAAGATGACATAGCAGTCATAAATAGCAATTATAGCGCAGCCTCCATGAGCTGCAAGGTCTGGTTTGGGACCAGAAAAACTATGAGGAGATGAATGCAGAGACATGTAGGTACTCACTCAGGTGCCCAATACATCAGGGAGAAGTGGTAACTAGAATCTGGCCACGAGTAAGTTTGTATGTTCTGACCAACATGACAAGTAGGTTTTTATCTGGATTTGTATCTGAAGCTCTAGAATCTGGCCACAAGTAAGTTTGTATGTTCTGACCAACGTGACACTGTTTTTCTAATTTAGTTTCTACCTTTGAACTTTAGCTCCTTTGCCTTCCTTTTAAACAATACTTAATTCTAGTTTATAAATGTAGTTTGTTAAATTTTGATGTTCCTCTTACCACATTGGAAAGTATGTAGGTACTTTGGAGTTCTTTTCTGAACAGTGATAGTAATTGGCACAAAGAAAATAACTTCCTTGATTTCAGGTAGGCAAGGAGGAAGAGTGCTACCTAGTCTGAGTCAAGGAAGTTGGAGGCTGGTTGCTGGAAAGTCCTGGTCTCTGATAGAGGCGTCTGTCATGATTGAAACTTGGACCTTTGATGTGTTGATTATATCCGCCCTCAGTAAGGTATTCCCTATTCAGATTACTGGAAGTCTGATTCACCAAGAATTTCCTAAAGGAATCTAACCTGTAATTTTGAACTTAACCAGAAATGGCATCAAATGAACAGAAGTTTCCATAAGCAACCCAAGAGTCACAATGATGCTATGTAGCCAATACCAAGATTAAACTCTTATATTAAGTGAAATCAAAGGAGGAATGTTTAGATTTCAAGAATGCTGGGCTTGTGCTGTCTGATTGGGTAGTTCATAGCCACATGTGCTAATGAGCAATTGAAATGTGGGTAATCCAAACTGAAAAGTGCAGTGAGTATAACGTACACTCCTTGTTTTTAAGACAGTGCAATAAAAAATAAAAAAAAAAAGGAAAAGAAAACACACAAAGACTATACAACAATTCTTCCCTATTTAAAAATATTTATTACAGGTTAAAATTATAGTGAGTTGGGTATGTTGAGTAAAATAACATTATTAGGATTAATTTCATGTTTCGTTTTTCTTTTTACTTTTAGTTTTTTGGCATAGTGTGCATGTGCTCGAGGAGAGAGAAGGAAAATAAGAAATCACTTCCACATGCCACATTACAATCCCATGTCTTCAATTCCTTTCTTGGGACTGAGTGCCTCACATAGGCACCCAATGTGAGTTTCAAGCCAACACTTTCTTGGGACTGAGTGCCTCACATAGGCACTCAATGTGAGTTTCAAGACAACAGATCTGGGATATAAACTGTGGTCAAGATCTGGGATATGAACTGCAGTCGCCATGTGCGAGTCCAGTCCCTTAATCACCATGCCATCTGCTGGCCCCTCATTTTACTTTTTTAAGGTGGCTTCTAGAAATTTAAAATCATAGATGTAGTTTGCATTATATTACTGTTGTAGACATTGTGGTGCTGCTGTAGACTATACCTAAAGTGTTAAAATACTAGGCAAAACAGAAGGACCAATTTGTTTAATCCATTTTCCAAATATGCCTTCAGATATTCACACTTACTTCTCACCTTTGAGGACCAGAATCCTGCTTTCTCAGAAAAGTGAGGGAAGCCATCTTAAGGAGAGTCCAGCAATCATTAGGATCACCAGCATTGTTGATTAAAAAATGATTGAGATTAGGCTACCTCAGAGAAATAAAAAAAATAGTATGACCAGGGCATATAAACATATTATGAGATAAGCCTTAGCATGGCAACCATGTAAAAGGTTATCTCATTAAATTTGTTCTCAGTTGGTATGGTATATCTGGCCAGGAACCTATGGGAACTTGTTTAGTCTGGGTTTGTGAATGATGGAGAATTCACATGGAGTAGGATGAAGACTCGGTTGCAGTAGTACTGTTATAACTGTTAGTCCATGACTCATGGAATTGTTGGACCAAAATTACTCAACCACTTACTTAAGACATAAGGAGATTTTTTTTTCTCCTTATCTTCTGACCTCAATGTCCCCCCTCCCCCCCTTTAAGGTCTTTTGTTCTATACAAATGATAGTGAAAACACTAACTAAGTCTTCATATATTCTTGGGTCTTACTTTTCATTTTCCCGAGTATCCTCTCTGGAAAGAAGAAAAGGAGCAGGCATTTCTGTGGAGCCTATGGCTGATATTCTTTAATGGTAGGCTTGCATGAGTATTTATGTTTATAGAGGCAAAACAAGGCAATGGTTTGGATTTTCAGCTCTAGTTTCATAGAGTACCTGATTTCTGGTCATGGCTTCACCACTGGAATTTTGACAAAATGACTTTACTTACCTCTGTGTCTATTCATCTGTAAAATTGTAATAATAATGATATTCTTTTGTAAGGAGGAGAGTCATGTAATTTTTCAACTAAGTTAGGCATGAACAAGTTAAAAGTGGCAAAAATGGGAATTATCCCAGGAAAACCAGAAAACGTGATCTTTCTGTCACTCTGTTTATAGGGTTTTTAACAGGTGAGATAGGTTTGTAACTATTGCATTCTTAGAATAATACAAAACACTTCATTATTACTATATTTCAATATTTTTTGAAAATGAATTGCATTCATATAAGTATTCATATTGTTTGAATGATTTATTCTTGTTTTACTCATGAAGGTTTTCTGAAGAATCATATCTGATCAGGATACAACATATGGCATCATTGAAAAATGGCTCCTCTTTCTCAGTCTCCGAATTCCTCCTCATCTGCTTCCCTAACTTCCAGAGCTGGCAGCACTGGCTGTCCCTGCCCCTCAGCCTCCTCTTCCTCCTGGCCATGGGGGCCAATGCCATCCTCCTGTTCACCATTCGGCTGGAGGCCTCTCTGCATGAGCCCATGTACTACCTGCTCAGCCTCCTCTCTGTGCTGGACATTGTGCTCTGCCTCACCGTCATCCCCAAGGTCCTGGCCATCTTCTGGTTTGACCTCAGATCCATTGGCTTCTCTACCTGTTTCCTCCAGATGTTCATCATGAACAGTTTTCTCCCCATGGAGTCCTGCACATTTATGGTCATGGCCTATGACCGCTACGTGGCTATCTGCCACCCACTACGGTACCCCTCCATCATCACTGACCAGTTCATTACTAGGGCTGCCATCTTTGTTGTGGCCCGAAATGGCCTTCTTACTATGCCAATTCCTATACTTTCTTCCCGACTCAATTACTGTGCAGGAAACATCATTAAAAACTGCATCTGTACTAACATGTCTGTTTCTAAACTCTCTTGTGACAATATCACCCTCAACAAACTCTACCAGTTTGTTACAGGTTGGACTCTGCTGGGCTCTGACCTCATTCTTATTTTTCTCTCTTACTCTTTCATTCTGAAAACTGTGCTAAGGATTAAGGCTGAGGGAGCTATGGCCAAGGCTCTAGGCACTTGTGGTTCCCACTTCATTCTCATCCTCTTCTTCAGCACAGTCCTCTTGGTTCTGGTCATCACTAACCTGGCCAGGAAGAAAATCCCCCCAGATGTTCCCATCCTGCTTAACATCCTGCACCATCTCATCCCCCCAGCTCTGAACCCCATTGTTTATGGTGTGAGGACCAAGGAGATTAAGCAGGGAATCCTGAAGCTGTTGAGAAGATTCTAAGAGATAACAAGGATCAGATCTACCTTGGGAACTGTTAAAAAAATAGGGAAATAGGAAATTTTTATGTTAGAAAGAAAACTTTAGTTTCTAATCTTGGAATGAGTCATGAATCTTCTTTTTCCCAGTATCTCAGGCAACTATGTAAACATTCGTTTGTGAATTTTTGTTCCTTGCTGCTTCAAAGGAAACCTCCCTTTCTTGGATTCTGCGATTGCCTGGGATTTTTCCCTCAAATAGCCCATGACTGAGGGAATTATCAACTCTTAGCCAAATGAGTCAGCATTAGAGTAGAAGTAATTGACCATTGAAAAGCAAATAATGCCCTTAAAAAGATCTGCCTGTTTCCTGATTTACAAAAGTCCCAGGTCTCTTTCCTGTCCCTGCTTCAACCTGGCAGAATCCTTCCTATGTTTTGTGCCATAAAGGGTATGTTGGGCTTATATAGACCCTGGAACTTTGGCTCTTGTGGTCAAGCGCTCTGCCCTGGACATCCTTGACTCTCTTTGGCATTCACGGCAGATGTGCCATTTATTGGATTCTCAGATCTTACTGAATCCAATACGATTTTTAGTTTGAGCCACTTCTTTGAGGGCAGCACCTCCTTTTCTTTATTTTAATGAATACTTGCTTTCTTCAGATTTTTGTTGTAGAGGTTGACGTGTATTTATTTATTTATTTTTAGTTTTCTAGTTGGACAGTAGTTGTATTGTTTGATGTGTTGTGTATTATTTTGTTAATATATACAACTTCATGCCTTTATAATGTTCACTTTATCTCACTTTATATAACTGTAGGAAACAGAAATTTTAATAAAATTTTAGGCATCATCTCTATCCCACCCCGGCCTGCCCATTCTAGGCACAAATGAACAGGACTGTGCATTCCCTTATTGCCCTGTTTGTCTCAGGTTCCATCCTGGGATGTGCCTGGTAAAGCTGCCCAGTTTTCCAGACCTGAAAGCTCTTTTTTTTTATTTAAAAAAGTTTTTTTTAAATAAGAACCTGTGTCCCACTGTTTTTCCATCTCTTTCATAATGCCACACATTAGTCCAGTATCTCCAAAGACCATTTTACAATGCTAATGTCCCTTTTGAGGATAAAAATTATGATTTCAAGCCCATAATTTTCCAAACATCGTTTGCCAAGTTTCTCGATTGAACGGTTCTACTTTCTTTTGTTCTTTTGAAGCTTATCTTTGCTGAATGACATATCACAATTCTATATTTCTACAGTATTTCAGAAATTGTTATGTGTTCCAGCATTTTAAAATAACAGAACTTCTATGTTCTCATCTTAACAAATTTTTAGATTTATCTCAAACTTTTCTTCTGCCTTTATGGTCAAGACAGAGTATTTATGCGTATTTGCTATACTTATTTTGCTGTTTCTCTTTCATCATTTGATCCTTTCCATAGTATCATTATTTTATTATACTCATTATTTACACACCCCATTTTTCCTACTGGGCCACCTCCTTCCAGAGGTCTTCCTTTTCTGATCCTTTGAACTGGAATTGTTGCTCACACATCATGAGTAGCTGTATGTATTTCTCTGACACTGTATATATTTATGTGTATATTTTTCTGACACTGTCATAACATTCTTCTAGGTTGAGAGAGTATTTTATTTATATTTTTAATTCTGCATGGTTATTTTGAGTGTTCCTTATGTAAAGAAAGTTAAAATAAAAATGAGTTGAACAAGATGGAACATTTTATAAGTTTATGTATCTCTTTCTTTGAGAACTATTTGGAAATAATGGTCAAGTCTTGTACTGTTATGTGTTTTTGTGGTGCCTAGTAGAGAGCTTTAGTTTAGCCAGGTCTAAATAAAATTTCATACTGTAAAGACCACTGGGATTGAGATAATATGGATAATTTGAGTTTGACCCTCAGATAAACCATTTGGCTAAATTTGTCTACTTGGATTTTATGAACTTTGGCTAAACTTATGGAGTTTTGTTTTCATTACCTTGAAAATGGTAATATTTATCTTATTTATCATTGTTTTGAAGAGCAGCTAAACCAGTCACTAAAATTTTTGTACAGTGGCTTAAGTTTCATACATAATAAATGAGTTATTGTTGATGTCATCATTATTTCTTGGAGCATACTGCTATCCCTGTTGTCCTCTAAATAGGAGACAGATCCCTATCTTACATTCTGTTTTCTTTAGGATAGCAGATATTCATGTCATGTGAGTCCTACTCCATCCCATACCTCCAGTCATACTTATTATTAGTTTATTATTTTGAGTTTTCTTTACTGTGTGTATGCTTGTGTGTGTGTGTGTGTGTGTGTGTGTAGCACTTGAAAACTAAAAAGGGTTGTATGTTCCCTAAAATGATCATTTGGGCATATTCTAGTTACATCCTGTTCAGTGTGGGCAAACCATGAGACTTCCCAAAAGCATCCCTTCTACAATGTCAAAGGACAGCCATCCATGATATATGGCGACGATACCATCCCAGTACTCACATCCTTTGGAGCTACCCAGTTTGTAATGCTATGTGCTCCCAAATTCTCTCCATAGTCCCATCTGGTATATTTGAGGGAGCAAGATGGGACATAATAATCATGAAATAGCAATCTATTTTCACCATATTCAAGTAGCTGTGTTAGTAAATCATCCTACTGATCATGGCCACACAATTTTTTTTTTTTAGGTTTTTATTTATTTATTTATTTTTCCCAATTTATTTATTTTCATTCATTCACTGTACATCATTACAGCATACAAAATGAGATTTTCCATCCAGAGTACACTGTATATAGTCTCAATCAAGCACATCAACAAACATGTTATTGTCAGCAAATGATCTTCCATTTCTTGTTTTCTGCATGTTTTGCTTTCCCCCCCCCATCCTTGATTCCTTATCTCTTACCCTCTGCCATCTCCACACAATTTGAAAATGCCTGAATGCTCTGGAACCCTTGCTTAAGGCAATCCAAAGAATTATCACTCTTGGTTTACATGTCTATAAAATGAAATAAACAGAGTCCACAATACTGCACCATATTTTCATAATATAATTCTGTAGAGTCTTTCTTCAGTGCAACTTTCTTTGAGTAGACTAGCTCATGCAACTTCTCTCAGAATCAGCTGTGACTTGGCATTCTCTATGAAAAGCTAATAAGCTACTATTTTCTGTGTTTGAAGCATTCTTAGTAGAAGAGTAATAACTCTTTACTTGGTATCATTACTCTTTTTATGTCCTTCTCATTTCTATCATACTTTCTCTTCCTTTTAAAACGTATTCTTGGGAACCAGCAGTTAGTGTAATGGCTATGTCGCTGGACTCCCACATAGTTGACTGCGGTTCGTGTCCCGGGGTGGCTTAAAACTCACGCCAGGCATGTGTGCATATGTGCCCAAGATCCTGAGAGGAGAATGGAGGAGAAGGGATTGCGGCGTGACCATCCCCCCTGGGGGGTGATTTCTTGCTTTCCGTCTCTATGTCTCTCTCTGTCCGTCTGGTGAGCGCATGTGCCCTATAATGAAAACCTCTCCAAAAAAAAAAAAAATGTATTCTTTCTAATTTATACTCTTCTTGGGTTGAGGCTCTGGTTCAGGCTCACTGACAATATAAAATAAGAAGTAGCAGGATTCTCCCCAGGATCTCTGCTTTTGTCCAGAAAGAGGTGTTGGAGTCGGAAGTGTAGAAAATAATCTGACCATCTCTATCCCTAGACATTATTTATGCTCAGTCCTAGATTGGTTAGATGAAGTAGAATGATACCCAACCCAATGTTTCCTTTGGAAGTCAGACATGCAAGTTCAAAGCAACATAGGTAATGTCTTGTCCATTTATGCCCTCTGACTGAAATGTAACTGTTATTGTAGTCTTGGAAGTCAGACTTTGTGAGGTGGTAACTTGTGTCTCAGCCTCCTCTCCAGCTCCCTTGCTTTTATGATTGAATTCAGATTTCTTTTCTTTTTAAGAATTATTTATTTCATTTATTTATTAATTATTATTATTTTAAAATTTTCTATAGGTCACATGAATTCACCAAGAGACACAGAGAGAGAGAGAAAGAGAGAGAGGGGGAAAGAGAAAGCTAGACACCAGGCCCAGGACTCAAACCATGATCAGCCATGTGGGAGTCAAGTGCCTTAACCACCATGCCACTTGCTGGTCCCTAGAAGATTTCTAAGGCATTTCCCTTTTACTGATGCACACATTCAAATAGAGGCTATACTCTCCCAGTGAGTAAGTCAGATTTCCATGTTCTTACATGCCCTGTCATTAATAATAAATACTTTGGGGCGAGCAGGTGGCATAGTGGTTAAGGACATAGACTCCCACAAGGTCGAATGCTGCTAAAGTCTTGGACCTGATGGCTTGAAACTCAAGCTGGGTATGTATGTATGCCACCTGTACCCAAAATCCCAGGAGAATAATGAAGAGGAAGGGACTGTGGCATGGCTATCCTCCATGGGTAGTGATTTCTTTCTTTCCCTCTCTCTGTCTCTCTCTCTCTCTATCACTCTCTGGTGAGTGCATGCACTCTATGGCAAATACCTTAAAAAAAGAAAAGTAAACACTTCAGTGGTCATTCTAATATTCTACTAAGCCACTGCACTGTGGGTTAAAATGGAAATGGTATGTCTATAACATGGTGTGCTTTATGACTATTTTTTTAAATTTTTAAAAATTTATTTATTTAATTTTTAAAAATTTCTTAAAGAATTATTTTATTTTATTTATTCATTCCTTCATTCATTTTTTAATTTGACCAGAGGGAGACAGAGAGAGATAGAGAAAGTGAGAAAGCAAGCCACCAGGTCCAGGACTTGAACCGTGGTCAGCCATGTGTGTGTCCAGCACCTTAACCACCACACCACCTGCTGGTCCCAATAATTTTTATTATTATTATTTTAAAAAAATATTTGGAGAGGTTTTCTTTTTCTTTTTCTTTTTTCTTTTTTGGTATAGGGTGCATGTGCTCCCCAGAAAGACAGAGAGAGACAGAGAGACAGAAAGTGAGATATCACTCCCCC